TCTTTCTTTATATTGTAAGCAGGCTACACCCATACATGGGCAGTAGAACACTTCTGGACCCTGCCTTCCTGCTGAATCACACTTAGTTAAACTTTTAAACTTCTCAAGTTGACACAATGAACAACATCCTAGAGTGGTAAGGGCACCTCCTTTTCAGCTCAGGATGTAGAACCCCTGAGTTAAGTTTCTAGACTCTTGGACTTAATGTAATGTATCAACCATAACAATCTACTCCTTGTCAACTTGGCAACCAGATAAATTTCTTTATACCATTTTCCAGATACAAAGACATTCTTATTTTACAACTTGAACATTATAACAGAGGTTTAAATTTATAAACCAAGGGCCGGCCAAATAGCTCAGCAGATTAAAGAGCCTACAAGCAGGTCCAGGGACTGGGGGTTCAATCCCTAGGCTTGCTGTGCTGGCCCCCAGGACATGCTGAGATGACAATTGATATTGGGTATGGTGGCACGTGCTTGTAATCCCAGCTCTTGGGAGGCTGTAAACAGGCGGATCACTACGAGTGTGATCTAGTAGTGAGACCCTGAACACCCTTTAGACCCTTCCCTAAAATATAAATAAATAATAAATTTAAGAACCAGTGGTAAGTGTATCATCATTAGATTACATTAGAGCCATAACATTTCCCTCCCCCAAAGATTCAGGTACATCTTCTTATGTAAAAGATATTTGGTCCATCTGCAACAGTTGCCAAAGTCCTAATAGTTTCAGCATTGCTGAGAAGCCCAAGTCCCAAGTCTCCTCAGAGATATAAGAAAAACTGTTTAGTTGCAAGCTTCTATACAAGTGAAGTTAAACACTTCCAACATTTAATTGCAAAAATTTCCAAAAGTTGAAAATGAGAATACAAAGGAATGGGATCAAATCAAGTCCAAAATTCAGCAGGGCAAGCAATAAACCCCAGCAATCTGGCACACTGGGAACTCCAGTGTGACTCCACCCCCAAGGTGCTTCTGGTAGTTACAGCTCCCAGGATCTTAGGCCACCTCTGTTCCCTCATTGCAGCTTTCCTTAGATGACCCACATTTCTGGTTTTTCCAAACCTCTTGGGCTTATCAGTCACAACTTCACACACTGCCTCTCAGAGGCACACTTGGCTTTCCAGGCCTTCTGAAATCAAGGTGGAAGCCTTTTAAACCTCAGAATTCTTGCATTCTTTTTTTTTTAAATGTATTTAGTACAGGGTCTACAGGGTCTCACTACACAGATCAGACTCACAGTGATTCTCCTGTTTTCAGCCTCCCAAGTACTGGGATTACAGGCATGAACCACCACGTGCTCAAATGCCATCTCAGCACACCCTGGGGACAGAGCCAGCACAGCTTGCCAGGGATCCGGCCCCAGTCCCTGCACCT